TCGGTCGACATTATTATCACACACCACAATTGGTTAGTATCCACTAGATTTTCATAAATAACATTACGGATTAATCTTAGTTAAATAAACGCTGAAAACCAGGAAGTACTGGCATTTTATATGTTTGATCTCAGTGTAGATTTATCTCATGACCTTCAGTCTTCCTGAGCTAACATCTAATTCTGTACATGTCTAAGTTGGTTTCACTGAGCACGTCGTAAGAATTGTGAATGAGTATTACTGAGGAGATACATCCTGGGATGTAAATGGCTATACGATCCTTTCTGGAAGTTTTTTTTATTGCCTAAGATCAGTCTGTGATGTAACCGATGAATGATTAGAATACCATCAAATATTTCATGATGTATAGAAAATTGATCAACTATAGTAGCAAAAGAAGAATATTAGATTTAAGAGGAAGCCAATTACATGTTAGCAAATTTTGGATAGAATAATTTAGCATACAGATGAATTTATACTAAACTTTATTTATTTACTTTATTAACTTTATTGAAATTATTGTTACACCATGATATACATATTCATCTCTAATCACCTTAGTATTTACAAGTACGTCGGGCGGTCTGCTCGAATATCTTGACTATCTGTTCCTGCCATCTTAATATTTCAACAAGTTATGTGTTCCCTTGTGTGTTTTAACACATCATTATGTCTATTGATTGCATAACCCATCCAAGTGAGTTTATCAAAAGTTTACGATCATGAATGATTATTGTTCAGATGGCGACTTCTGAAATGCTAACATCTAATTGACGATCAATCAATATTTGTCGTCAATATCAATCAAGAAATAAGGAATAAAAACTCATTAAAATACTTTGTTATGAGAATTATTCTATATTGTACCAAACATATAATACTGAATAACGCTAATACTACTACTACTTTGATATCAAAATATTAAATAAGTTGTATATCAGAAAGGGTTTTGTGGAGATTGTAATGTCAACAGTTGAGGTCATGAGTCAATTGAAGCTAGACCACTATGGAAAACCTGGAATCACTGGACGTCCGTTTCGTCCTATTGTGCGCATCCACGACTCCACAAAACCCCTTCTGATACTAATCAGCATTTGCTCACTAGTGACTGGCTTCAAGAGATGTATAATGGACTTCTAGTGAGAAGCAGTGGCCAGTGGAGTTCAACCGGGTCAGTTGTGAGGTAGTAACTCACTGATGACAATGGTAGATGTGTCGCTCAATTTCGTGGATTAGTTGAAGTTAGACATTAACACCGTTGAATGACGGCTCGGTGGTCTAGTTGTTGAGACTCACAGGTCCTGGGTTCGAATCCCGCAAGCTCGGGTCGTGGATGTGCACTGCTGAGGAGTTCCACACTAGGATGAAACAGCCATCCAGTGCTTTCAGGTTTTCCATGGTGGTCTAGCTTCAATTGACTCATGATCTCAACTGTTGTAAATAAGGTTTAATCAACTGATGAGACCTTAACGTAACAGAATGAACCCATTTTCAACCTCTTTAGTTATTCATAACTTCAATATTAAAGTTGAAAACAGTATGTATTCTTTAAGAATAAGATATATATATATATATATTCTAAGCTTAATTTACCTTCTAATTTACCTTTTTGTTTTGCTTTACTAAATCCTTAATTCTAATTAACAAATTAGTTACTTAATCAAAAATGGATATGCAAATTTTGTTATGAACTGAATAGTGAAAGTAACAAAATAGAATATTCTTGTCATTAGAATATATTCCCCCCCACTTCTCCTCCTCTCCCCTCCCCTCTCCCACCAAGAAATAACAATTTTAAATGAAGAAATGTAAATATGTAATTTGTTGATGTAAAGAATACAACTATAAATATTTTAGATATTAAAGATCTGTGGAACGTTTGTAAACAGAGTAGACAAATTGATTCTAAATGAAATACATAGTAACAAAAGTAGTATATCTAAAAAAACGATCTTTGAATCTAAGGAAATAACTTCACACTGGTAAACCTACCTGTAGATCATACAACATAATGTTAACATTATCACTTGTTTATTGGTGACTAGCTTTAAGAGGTGATTTTATGGAGTTCTAGTCAGAGGAGAGGTCAACTGTGTCGGATATGAGACAGTTAAAGATAGTCGTTTCATATCGTAGATTAAATGAAGTTAGATATTAATACCGTTAAATGCCAGCTCAATAGTTTAGAGGTCAATTGCCCTCACGAGATCGAAAATCCTAGGTAAGGGATTGTGGATGCACATTACTAAGGAGTCCCAAACTAGAACCAAAAGGGCATCCAGTGCTTCTAGGTTATCAATAGTAATCTAACATTGTTTGGTTGATGCTCTCAATAAAAAACTAACAAAAGAAGTATATGGTATAGTTGTTTCTTTTTCTTTTTCAAGTGTTTTCTTCAACGTATCATTCATTAACTTATTTCATGTGACATTGGTGTAAAATTGTATTGGAACAATGCATCATTCAAAGATTACATTTCAACTCACTATAATTGTTGAAT